TGTCTCTGGCTGCTCTTGTTTTATCCTCAAAGCCTTTTATTTTATCTTTACATTCAATGGATTTATTTATGATAATGAATGGATTAATGCCAATTTTCTGTTTGATAATGTTACAATATTTTTTTAAATGTTCTTTAATATATTTCAGATTTGAAAATTTCATACTTATTACAATTTTGTGCCCCAATAACATATCTATATTTGTACATTGGGGTGAGGGTATGCAATCTTTCTGGTTGCTCTTGTTTTATCTTCAAAGCCTTCTATTTTCTCTTTACATCAGTTAAGACTTACTGACAATAATGAAAGGATTAATGCCAATTCTCTGTTTGATATTACAATATATTTTTTAAATGCTCTTTAATATATTTCAGAAAATTCCTTAGTTATAACATTTTTGCCCCAGTAATAAATCTATATTGGTACAGTGTTTCATGTTATTTGGGTATCCCAAATAATTTAGGTATAACAATGTTTAACTGAGTCTACATCAAAGTCTAATAAAACTGAAACATTTATTAATGATACTTTTTTGTGTCTATTTTAATGTGCTTATAAACCTTGTTACCTAAGGGTTTTAATGTATTCAAATTAAAACCTAGGTTTCCACATGAAATTGTAATACAAAACCTTTTAAAAATGAAAATAAAGTTAACTGTTTTACACCTATGGGAGATACAAGACATTTACTAGGTAAATAATTTAAATATATAATGACTTCTTTCTTACCAATAACATGTTTATTGTTGTTAACAGTGAATATATTTCTGCAAGTTATGCATTCTCTGATTACTTCAACTTTAATCACCCAATTTCTGAATAGGTTACTTTTAAGTTCTTGTTTTTATTCCACTTATGTAAAACTTTAGTAAGTGATGTACTAATTAATTTTTGAAAATTCCCAGAACTCTGGACCATTACTCATTATTAGTCTTAACTTTTATTTACTCACAGTATCAAGGTTGCCAGTGAATACATAGTCAATAGGAAAATAAATGTGAGGAAGTGAATTACATTTGCATTTTGAGGATAAAATGTCATGCAACTCTTCAGTGGTTATACTATTTGACAATATTATGATTAAAGATGTTATTACCAATAGTCCTCTTGCAAGAATAGCTAATAGCCGAGTATTTTATTTTGCAATTAATGCTGTATAGAAGTGTCATTCACTACAGATTCTAATTTAATTAGTTCTATACAGTATACTTCTATCAATAAATGGAACTATAAAGTAAACCTAATGTTCATTAATTGTTGTTTTAGATGTACTTTATTACAAATAGCAAACTTGTTTACATAGCTTATCAAACCTGATGACACACATTTAGTTCAACTGACAGCCCTCAAAAAGGTAGTGTGCAAACCGCCAAGGCCTTCTGTTTGATACACTGCTGAGCATTTGTAATAAGCTCACCTGTATATTATTCATTTGTTCTGTGTTTGTACCCATGATTACATGCAAAATACTGAGAAAAATATATTTTAATTGGAAAGTTACAACCTTGAGAAACATTCATTTTAAATTTGGCCATTAAACCCAAAAAGATGAGTTGTATCTAATGTTTTATTTTTAACCAAATACTTGAAATAGTCCTCTCTTTCCATTTATTGGCACGAAAGCAATTTAAATTTATATGCTGTAGTATATGCGAAAATCTTCAAACTATGCGCTGGAGTGGAGGGTTGAGTTTTAAATTTAAGTATCCACAGAGTTTAGCACAACTTCAAAGTTAATTCTTTAACCAACTTTACTGTTGCAAATTAATATTTAACAATGAGAATACAATTATTAATACTAATAGTTTACTAATCTAGATTCTAACTTCTAGTCCTAAGTACAACTATGTAAACTAAAATTAAAACTTCTAAAAGTAAAAGTAGATTGGCGTTTAGGACGTTAGGCCTACATTTTTCAGAATATGCTATTTGGACAATCGCAGAACTCCCATCATTTTGTGACAGAGGCTCAATATCTCTCCATGATGGCCGATCTTTGTACAGTACCCAATTACTTTCTTCAAAAGGGGTATCTTGATTCATTACTTTTACTGAGGTTATAAAAATATTTTATTACAGTTAGCTAGCCTACACAATATAACTGAATGGCATGACCCAGGCTTATCATCACCGACAAATTTCACTCTGGTAGTGTTAAAGAGTAACAATACATATCCCAAAGACTAAATACAACAATAGGGCTCTGAAAACGTGCCACAAGAGGTGCTTATGTATATTGCCTCAGATTATTTCGACCATGGCCCGACTAACTAAACTAAACGAAAATAGTTGGCAGTTATTTTGATGAAAATTAAAAATTTCAAGGGAAATATTTAATCTTCAGGTGTGCTCAAAGATTAAACAATCTTCCTTCGTCCCGCGCGTAAGGACAAGTTAGGGGCATTGTTGCGGTTGTGGATTTATATATTAAGTGGATGTATTGAGCATTACTCTAACAACAGACCCACTTCAGACCTATGGTCCTTCAGTGCGGCAGGAATCTGTAAATTCTATGCCACGAAATTTTTTGTTGGAGGAAACGGGAGTACCCCGAGGAAACCCACTTTTACTGGTAGGACGCCAATCCATTACCAGTGTTCGTTTAACGCAAAGATATAGATAAAAGACAAACTTGTTGGAGGAGGCAACAGTGAAAGGCGGGACTGTGAATTTATTAACGTGACATGGAATTTTTCAGTTGGTGTACTTTCCTTAGAAAGAAGTTCTGGCTGGGGCTAGGCCTGACCGGGTGGAATATTCGCGTCACTGGTGGAGGGGTGACGGAAGAAGAAAGACTGTAAGGGCAGCTCGTCTATTTAGTGGTTCGATAGAGAAGAAGAGTCTGTGGAAGTGTCTATTTGTAAGGCGTCTGGCAAGTTTGACGATGAAAGTACAGCAGGCGGGTCTGGCTTGTGGGACGGGAAGGGTTGTAAGTTATTCAGATTACTGGTTTGTTGTTATTTCTTGGAGGTGGTTACTGGTTGAACATGGTTTATTCGTGGCGGTCGGGTTTAAGTTGCTTTTTTTCCTTTTTGCTGTGGTTGTTTGGGTTGACTTGTCTTGATATTTAATTTCGGTAGGTGGTAGGTGCTGCCTGGGACTGTTGTTTGATTCAAATAATGGATTTAGGTATCTAGGTTGGCAGCGGGTGCTGTTTGGGAGAGACATGGAGGTAACGCGGGAGGTATGCTGGATAAGGTTGGGGCCGGGCGTGGCTTTCGATAAGGTTTTTCCGCCTTGAAGTGGTAAAAGTCGAGGAAACAGCCGTTTGTTAGGATATAGTCTGTAGTCCTGTTTTCCTGGATGTTATACAGTGGACGGCGTGAATCTTTGAATGGGTGGTTATTTCTAGGGCTTGGAGGATTTCGTCTGTATTGAAAGATTGGTCGAAGTTTCTTAAGAACAGAGTGTGTAGGCTGGTACTTCTTTTGGGTGGCTGGCAGGTAATGGGTGGGTTTGTACCGTCGGATAAAGGTAGTTTTATCTCTGGGATAGAACTCGATTATTACCGGTGGCGGCGGTTAGCTTAGGGGTGGAAAGCAAAGCTGAATACATCTTCCTGGCATGGTCTAATCCCGGTTGTCCTAATTCTAATGGTTTCCAAACGAGAAAAAAAAAATCGTGACAGAAATTTAGTTTTTAAAGGAAAGAAACTTTCCTAAACCGAGGTGTTCAGAGATATTGTTACCCCCCTTCGCCCCGCTCGCGTAATTTGTTTGTTGCACTCGTGTGATATTTGATTTTAGCTAGATAGGTTGGTCTTACGTTGTCTAGTAAGTTTAGAGACTTGATATTGGAGTGTGGAGAAATGAAAGAAGCAGAGACATGTCCCGAAGGTTTCAGGGCAGAGAGAAAACCAAGCACAAAGCTACACAATGGGCTATCTGTGCTCTGCCCACCACGGGTATCGAAACCCGGTTTCTAGCGTTGTAAGTCCGCAGACATACCACTGTGCCAATGGGGGGGGGGGCATTGAGAAGAAGAAAAGAAGTAATAGGAAAAACATTCGACAAAGTACACAGAAATAAACTTCTCATGATCAGGGTCACAGGGTGGCTGTGATCAATAATTCCAAGTGCCTTAGAATTTGTTATGGGGTGAAATGGGAGTACCCTGAGAAAACCCACTTTCACAAGACAGGCGTCAAATATGTTTACAAATGTAAACGTGTTCACTGCTTTTATCAAGTATGCAAGATTATAATTCTGGCCCAACTTCTCCGAAATGAATGTTAATTGCATCTGAGCATCACGCCCCGTGAATATTTAACAACTCACAATCAATAAATCTTCAGGATTTAGATCTTTTGTAGACCTGGGAGGGTCAAGTACAGTTTTAACCTCTTCCTCAATTCTTGACTATCGGCTTAATAGAGGACTGTAGTGGTTCTTTTTAGTTTTATTTTCTATTTATCCTTTTCAAATCAAATCAAAATCGTAGCAGAAATTTTGGTATAAAAAAATCTATCGAGGTGAAACTTCGGGGGATTACCAGGGGTGCTCAGAAGCTTCTGCTTTGCTTCGCCCCACTCGTGATGGTGGTGTGGGCTGTATATGGATTCCAGTGGATTGAGCTTGATATAAAATGTTATGTTGTCATGATATGTTTAGGAGTGTCTGAACAAGCAGTCGGAGGGGCCATGAAGAATTGAGAAAAAACAAATAGAGGGGGAGATTGAGGCCTAACAATTCAAACAGCTCCTGTAGGACAGAGGGTCCTTCGGGGAAGTGGGGTACTATAAATCCAATGCCAGTGAAATTTGCTGTGAGGGAAAACGGGAGTGCCCCGACAAAACCCACTTTCACGGACCGGGCGCCGAATTATCCTTTTCAGAGTCATGTACATGAATTTTATACTATGGCCGATGTAGGTTGAGCTCTGAAATGGGGTGACTTTTATTTTTACTTCGCTTTAAATATGTGATTACTTAGTTTTGTGATATAGGGCTCATGAATAAGTGAATGATGTGTGGAATTACAGATATAAAATGTTGTTTAGCTATCTATATGAAGAGTGTGAAACTATCTGTACAGTTTTTTTTTGTACTGTTCTATGAAATCTATGAATATATTTTTAATGGCTTCGAAGATGGGATTTGTTTCTGGATTGTTTGGTTTGATTTCAAATGTAATTGATTGTTGACTTACTATGATCGGACTTTTGTTTTGTTGTACATTAGAACTGTTTGGTTCTTTCTGGAATTGTTTTGTTGGCTTTAGCGTTTCTTTATTTAGTGGTTGTGACCATGCTCTCTCAACGTAAGTGTATGTTGTACTTTGTAAGAGTGTGGTCTGTGTTATTGGTTAATGGGAGGGCAGAAGAACCAATATCAGCATCCCCGAAGAGGCCGATTCCACAGGCATTGCAGTCTGCCTGATAAAAGATCAACTTCATTGGGCCAGTCACTGTCTCCATATATAGGAACATCAACTACCTTGTCTGATGCTTTTCTCGGAACTTCGTTACGGCAATTATTCTTGGGGTGGACAAGTAATAGCGGTATTTTTCTGTTTGATTTGTCAGAATTTATTTCGGAGAAATGTGTTGTTGCGTCAGCGAGTCACATGACTACAGTGACGCAACGTTTCTAGAATTATCGTGTACTTTGGCGAATGCTCTAG